CCCCAGCTCAGAACCCTCCAATCCCATGGACTGAAAAAAAAAGAGAAAAATCAAATAGGTGTGTCCTGGAAAGAACGTGGCCAGAGTATACCTTGGAGGCATGGATGACAAAACCTCTTTCATAGTTGGAGTACATAGCTAGGCAAGGCTATTCCTTGGAAAGGGACATCATGCATGGAAAAATGGAGGGTCAGTGAAGGAGAGGAAGACTCCCAATGAGATAAATTGACACTGTGACTTTAAGAATGGACTCTAGTGTGTTAGAGATGATGAGGATGGCACAGGATAGGGCAGGTTTCAAGTTAACTGTCCATAGGGTCACTATGAATTGTACTCAACTCAGTGTCACCTAATAACAACAACAATCCAGCTATGTGGTGAAAGTCAAAGCCAACTGCTAGAAAAACTTTACTGAATAATACACTTCAGCACAATAACCTGTAGGTAGCACACGCTTAACTTTCTTTTTCAACTGATTGACTGACTACAATACATTAAATTGCATGGGTGATTATTACATTGTGTTACATTATATATCAAACAGCAACTAGCCCAAGATATGATCAAGTCACTGGGAACAATAATATCACCAAATAGGCACTTTCAATTAATCATAGCAGGGAACTGTGAGATTAATTTGGTATTAGCAAAACAATTGGAAAAAAGCATTTCTTCTTCCAAAAGATGAATGAACTACTGATGATCTGAAAGCCCATCTACTCTTTCAGATGACCTCATTTATCTCCACTTTGATCCATTAAATATTAATTTTTAAATTTAACTCTCAGGCTTAGTAAAGCAAATTTACTTTACTTAATCTCAAAATTTTTATGAGTGCCTTATTATGCTTTAAAAATTGATAGAGTCATGAGACTCCAGTTACCATGGAAGCCATGGGAACTCAATTTGATTGCATAGGGTACATTTGTGAAATGTGGCACATCTGAACATAGTCCATTGAGACGCCAGCAAAGGAATAGCCAGGAATAAGATGAAACATTTGGCTTCAAAAGTGGAAGTAAAGACAAAGGGTGACAGTTATGGTAAAAAAAGCAGCAACAGAGTAGTAGAAGAGCTCATGGGAAGCCAGGTATTTGGCCAATAATGCCTAGGACTTTTTCCATGGAAATTTTTGTAAGCTAGGTAAAGGACAAATATGCTATTTGTAAAAGAAGAGAATATAATCTGATCCCAGATTACTGTTTTAAAAAACTATTCTTGGAAGGAGCCATATGTAGGTATTTACCATCAAGAAAATAAAGATTCTTACCACCAGGCCAATTGACATCACCATGATAGCTGGAAGAGAAATTGCGATTGTTAAAAATTACAATTTGCTTGTTTCCACAATCAACACTTTTGGCACCAGAAGACAGGAAAGAAAAAGATGCATTAGGAAAATCTGCTGTCAGGGACTTCTCCAGAATGCTGAAGAGCAAAAATGTAAGTTTAGAGAATAAGATGTGCCTGATCCAGGCCATGGTCTTTAAAATTACTGGCTATACATCAGAGGGCTGGACAAGACTAAGGATGGCAAAAGAAGAATCGGTGCTTTTGAGTTGTGGTGCTGTAGGAGAATATTGGTCATACTATGGACCATCAAAAGAACAAACAGGCTTGTCCTAGAGAGGGTGAAACCATGTTTCTCCTTAAAGGCAAGGATTTTGAAGCTCTGTTTCACAGACTTTGAGCTTGATGCCAGGATGGACCAGTCCTTGGAGAAGGACAACATGCTTGGAAGGGTGGAGGGTCATCACAGGAGAAGATGACCCTAGGTGAGATGATTTGACATGGTATCTGGGGTAATGGGGATAAATGTGTCAGAGGTGAAATTGGCTCAAGGAATGGTAGGGTTTACAGCTATTATGCATAGGGTCGCTATGAGTCACAGTTGATCAATAATACATAACAATTACAACTGGTGGCCTAGTGGTAAGAAATTCCCAAAGCACACAGTTTGAAACCGCAAGCAGTTCTACCTAGAAAGATGAGGACTCTCCTTCTGTGTAATTTACAGCCTCTGAAAAACCTGCTAGAATCAGCTATGGGTCACTTCTGACTCTATGACACCCAGCAACAATATGCAGGTATTTGACCACACCTTTTTACTTCTTTCTTCCACTATCAGAGAAACTACCTTTGGAGGCCAGAGCCCCTCCAAAGGTTTATCTCTCCTCTCACATCCAAAGTACACACAGGCACTATCTCTCCTGCTCCCTTGTCTTTTATGCCCTTCACTTCACCTAATACAACTCAAGTTATTACTGCTTTGTTGTTGTTACGTATTGTCAAGAAGCCTGTGACTCATAGCGACCCTATGTACAATAGCCCTAAACCCTGCTCTATCCCTTGCCAATCTTACTGTCTCCGACATGCCTATCCCCATTACCCCAGTGACTGAATCAATCCATTTCATCAAGGTTCTTCCTCTCCTGTGCTGTCCCTCTACCCTCTCAAGCATGACGTCCCTCTCCAAGGACTGATCCTGCCTTGCAACATGTCCAAATTTTGTCAGATGAAGCTTCAGAATCCTTACCTCTATGAAGCTTCAGAATCCTTACCTCTAAGAAGCAGCCTGGCATCACCCTCTCTAGGACCAACTTGTTTGTTCTCCTAGCAGTCCATGGTATATTCAGTACTCTTCTCCAGCACCACAGCTCAAAGGCGTCCACTCTCCTTCTATCATCCTTAATCATTATGCAGCTCTCTGATATATAGCAAGTGATTGCAAAGACCATGGCCTGTATCAGGCAGTGTGTTTACTTGCTTATATGTTGTTTGTCTGGCCCTGGCAAAGACTAAACTAGAATGTAAGATCAAAGAGAATGGCTCCTTTGTCCTGTTCCCTGCTATGTCTCTATATACTGTCTATATATATATATATATATATATATATGTATATGCTGTCTCTATATACTGCATACTGCTTTTGCATTTGGGGATCCAAATTTTAATTTTTTTTTCTGAATAGAATGCTTTGAAACTCAGCCATTACACTTAAAATTATATTTTTGTGTGTGTGAAATAAATTTCATTTTTCAAGAAATGGATTTCTACTTTTGTGGCTCTTTTGAAAGAGGAGGTATAACATTCCTCAGTATCAAAATAATCAAAGCATAGAAGAAATTAAGGTATATCACGTTTGTTTCAGCATTTCATCTATATATATCCAAGGAGTCTCCCTTTCTCCATTCAGAAAAACTGGAAACATTATTGTTAGTTAGTTACATTGAAGTTTTAAAAAGAAAAGAGGACAGACACAGTAGAAAAGAAAGCATTTGGTTAGCCTTAGCACAATTAAGGAGGAGTCCTAGTGGTAGGGTAGTCAAATCATTCAGCTGTTCTCCTAAAGGTTGGCAGTTCACAACTACTATCTGTTCTTCAGCAGAAGGATGAAGCGAGACAGGAATCCATAAGGACTTAGCCTCTTGGAAACTGGAAGGGTTAGTTGCATTCGCTCTGTCCTGTAGGCCTGGCACAATGTAGTAACCCCCACGTTACTGGTCTGCACGTGCTATTTGCATGTTTCAGGCCAACAGCTGCTATTTACCCTATTGACATTATGAGCAAGCTGTCAGCTCCCTATGATTAGGCACATACGCCTCACATGTGTATAATCCTGACCAGCTATGTAGTGAAAGTCAAAGCCAATTGCACGATAATCTATAGGCACCACGCACCTAACTTCCCATTTGAATTCATTGCAGGATCGCATAATCCGGATGTCCTCAGACCGAGTGCCTATGCTGTATCTCTTCTTCCCCCCGCCCCTTTTTTTAAAAAATAATATTTCTTTTATTGCTTTTGTTTGTCTGTTTCCTATATACTAAAAGGAATTTGTCAATGTAGACCATAGGGTGTGGGGTTCGCCCCCCTTTATTTTAAAATGATTTTCAAACAGAGTTATAAAACAATGCAATTCTTAGCCTAAGCTGATGTATCTTATTGTGATGTGATGATTCTAAATTTCTTAGTTATTTAGGGAATGAGAAGCAGAAGATCTCACCAACATGCAACCTTTTGCAGAGTCTTGAGTGGAAGTGTTTAAACTGTTGTTGTTAGTTGCTGTCAAGTTGAGTATGACTTATAGTGACCCTATTAACAACAGCCCTTAACCCTGCCCTGTGCCATCCTCCTCTTCTTGGCCACACTAGTGCCCATTGTTATAGTCACTGTGCCTATTCTTCTTAAGAATCTTCACCTTCTTTACCAACCCTACATTTCCCAAGCATGATGTCTTTCTCAAAGGGTTGCTTCCTCTGAAAAGCATTCCTAAATTATGTGAGATGAAGTTTTATCATTCTTACCTAACCTTATATAGGTAGGATGTTCTCCAAGGTATATCTGTTTGTTCTCTTAGTAGTCCGTAGGATATTCAGTTCTATTCTCCAGCACCACAACCCAAAGGCATCAATTCTTATGTCATCTTTATTCATTGTCCAAATCTTGGATACATAACAAGTAATTGAAAAGACCAGGGCTTAGTTCAGACACATCTTAGTCTTTAAACTGACATTCTTGCTTCTCAACACTTTGGAGAGGTCCCTGACAGCAGACTTTTTCAATGTAACATGCCTTTTAGTTTCCTGACTGCTGGTGCCAAGGTTGTCAATTGTGGACCCAAGTAAGATGAAATCATTGATAATTCCTATCTTTTCTCTATCAACAACAACTATTCCCCCCTTGCCATTCATATACAAAATTTTCATCTATACCAGTCATTATTATGGTAAAAAGAATTTTTATTATACATGACGCCTTAGAAATCTTATTGACCACTTCAACTATTCATTCACTGCCTCTGAGAGTTTTTCTTTCTTCTGCAGATCCAGCGAATTCAGCTCCATCCATACTGGATGGGTTTGACCATCGCAAAGCCATGGCAGGACAACGTGTGGAGCTGCCCTGCAAAGCGCTTGGACACCCAGAGCCAGATTACCGCTGGCTAAAGGACAACATGCCTCTGGAGCTCTCTGGAAGGTTCCAGAAAACTGTGACGGGGCTACTCATTGAGAATACACGTCCCTCAGACTCAGGCAGCTATGTATGTGAAGTATCCAACAGATACGGAACTGCTAAGGTGATAGGCCGCCTGTACGTGAAACGTAAGTTGGATCGTAACCAGCAATGGTAGTGATGGCTGCCATTTTCTGAGTTAATCTCTGAGCTTTCCTGACAGCCTCCCATTAAGCCTCTCAACCGTCTTGTTGTTGATAACTGCTCGCTCCATTTTGCAGAAACGGACACTGATCCTTACATGAGTTGTCCAGGGCCATCATTGGCTAGAGCTTGAATTGTTTGTGTGTGATCCCCAAACCTCTGAGACTTTCCATTAGGTCGTATGAATATTAATTCTATGCTTAGCAGGGCCCATAGAGATTTCTAAGTACATATACCCAACATAACATTTCTTAACTGTGAAACTTAAGATAAATGACCTCTCTGAAAATAGCAAAGGAAGTGGAGCAGAATTATTCTTTGAGCACAAATGAAAAGAATCTGCTGAAACATGTTGTCCCCAACTTGGCTGTTTTAACAAGGCTATTTCAATTTTCTAAATTCCTAATTGGGACTATAACAAGCAGAATTGCATTGTTATTGGTAGTTAAAATGACTCCAACTCCTGATCTTGAATGTAACAGAATCTAACATCGCCTGGAGCTTTGCTTCCCCTTCCTGATCGCTGGTATATCTGAGCCCATCGTCATGCCTCTGGTAACAATCCATCCCATTGAGGGATTCCTTTGTTTTCATTGTCCCTCTGAGTTATCACACATGATGTTCTTTTCCAGCTATTGGTTCCTTTTGGTAACTTGTCCAAAGTAAGCTAGGTATAATCTCACCACCCTCTTCCTGAAGGAGCATACTGGTCATATTTCTTCTAAGACTGATTTGTTCATTCTCCTGGAAGCCCACGATATATACAGTATTCTTGACCTACACCACAATTTCCAAGCATTGATTCTTCTTCACCATCCAACTTTCACATATAAATAAGATGATTGAAAATACCATGCCTTGAGTAGGTTCTTTAGTCATTGAAGTGACATCTCTGCCCTTTAAAACCTTGCGGAGATCCCCCCCACCCCCCAGTAGATTTTCTTAATGCAATACATCATCTGATTTCTTAACTGCTACTTCCATGGCCCTTCTATTTCTTGTTAGTTCAAGTAAATAACGTTATTGGAAACTTCATTCCCCTCCTCCTTTTCTTTCATGATTTTGTTTCCTGGCCCATTGCAGAAATATTGGGCCCTAAATTATACAAATGTTAGATTTGGACTCAGGTTCCTAGATCATTTAGTTAAAGTATAGTGATGTACTTAGGGGATAAAACTGCTAACGCGAAGGTGGAGCCTCTCTGATAATTCAGAGGTTCCACCCACAAAAGATGATCCTTTTCCTTCTGTGCCATCTATTGTTGAGAAAGCACATGTAGGGACAGTTCCCACTGGATGGCAATTAATTTGAAGTGTTGCTTTTCTGTTGGTTTTGTTTGTTTTAAATTTGAATGATAGGCGAGCTCTGGTGGCCTAGTGGCAAGAAGATTCACTGCAATCCCGGAGATGTGAGGTTCGAATCCACCAAATGCTCTGCTGAAGAAGGAGGGACAATCTCCTCCTGTACCAGTCAGATCTGATTTGACGGTATACACATTAAAAAAAAATTGAATGACATGCCCAGACGAGATGTAGGCTAAAGGCAGAGTCAGGGAAGTGAGGATGTGATTGCTGGATGATGGGGGAGCATGAGTGAAGTTCATTTGTCCATTATTTATATAATATATTAAAACTCCCTTCATCTTGTTCATGTAAAGAAACAAATCAAAGTGAATTAATCAAGATTACATGGCAATGCTTTGATCAGAAAATATGTCTCCTGATTACCAACATAATATTCTCTTTTACTTTTTAATGTAATATTCTTTTTTCTTTGATAAACAGAACTAAACACAGTAAATCTCAAGGAAGGACCTTGTACTGGAAAAAGGATACAATTTATTGCATCACCTTGCCCAGGCATATGTGTCTGGTTGTGGAACTAGGTATACTGTAAATAGTACTCTGCATGGAGGCACAAAACCAGCTAAAAAGAATTAATTTCTCGTAAACATGTCTATGATTTTAGGGTTCCGAAAATATCACTCGATTGTATTTATACTTAGATTAGAAAGAGATTATGAAGTGTGCCCAGTTATGTTTCTATAATTAAGAACATAGTAGATGAAATATAAGTAGCTTTAGACAGCAAGCAAAAATTATTCCCAAGGCTCAAAATCTCCCCCATGTTAAAAGGCCTTTTATAACTCCCTGTTTTCTGCTGCATAAAGTTTGCATCTTAGAATAGTATTCAAGGCTTCCCATGCAAACCCACATGGTCATATTTCACAATGTTTTGCCTAAAAAATTTCTACTAAAATCTAACCTTGCCATAGCCATAGTACAGATCTATTCTGCCTATGTGCCATATTACTTATCTCGCTCCCTTCATATCATATGAAATATTATTTTCTAATATTGTTGTGATGGGCTTTTGAGTTGGAAATAACTCATAGCTGACTCTTCAGCAAGCTTTCAGAGGCTGTAAATTGCATAGGAGATTACCCATCTTTCTTCCATAGAGAAACCAGGGGATTTAAAATGTATGTTTCTGACTTGGCAAAGCAAGTTGGCCAACTTGTGAGCCAGACGTCTAAAGCTTTCCATTATTTTAGATCCAATGCAGTTCCCTACCCTAAATACATCTTCCTTATCTCCCTCCTGTCTTTTTCTCAACTCCCAGAATATTATACTTCTATCTTTTAAAACATCGATCACTATCAACTTTTAGATAGTTACTTATGCTCAAGGCCTAATTCTGACAATGCTTCTTTTCATAAATGTAATCTGCCCTTTCTAGACAAATTCCAAGTGTTTTTCTAGTGTTTTCTTCTTTTCTGCTTAATTATTCCTTCTTTATTTTTGCCTGCCTTTGCTCTCTTCTCTAATTGGAAAGCAATCATTTGGATTTAAAACTCTGAACCCTCTTCAATTAGCTCTTCTTTTCTTTTGTTAATAGGACTTGGTATTCTTCTCTGGAAAAGAAAATAAAACTAAGAACCATGAATTTCCACTTTTATCCTCAAGTTCCTTCATTAGTGTCAAAAAAGTATGCTGTGATGTCTTAGATATTTAGTGGGACACCACAAAATAGTAATATTTCCAGCTGAGCTTGCTGCCGTCTGTTGCTGCCTTTGCGCTCTGCATGCAAGCCCTGCCAGCTCCTAGAAACAGGTTCTCTGTGCTTCTCAGCCATGTTTCCATCACTTCTCTGCCCTGAATTGGATTTTAATTTTAATTGGCTCTCATGGACATTTTCTTCCCCTCCCCCATATTTGCATAAGGAAGTTTTATTTTATACTTAGCTTTCTTATTACCTTCCTCAGCATATTTTTCCCTAAAGGTGTTTGTCACTAACTTGTATAATTTTATAAAGTAGTTTTAACATAAACAATTAACAATTTAACACTAGATTACAAAGTGATTTAAAGCATCTGCTTTATTGCAAAAAACACGTCATAGACAGTTTCAATACCTCTTTAGTGACCAATTTTCCTGCACTCTCTAATTTGTCCAACACAATAAGACTTAGTAATTCTCTTAAAAATGTGGTTGCTTGTAATGCTAACTTGCAGAAAATATTTGAATGCTTGCTTTAATTCTTTATTACATAATTCCAAAATCTTAAGGCCTTTTGCAATATTGCCTTAGAAAGTTTCTGTCATTTTTATACAAACTCTGACTTTAGAAATCCTGTATTAGAGCCAAACTGAATCAGAGTTTTGTATGAACTAGAGTTTTGTTTGGCATTATCTTCTGCAGTTTACACTCTACAATACCCTATTCCTCTGGGTTTTGCTTCACATTTTCGCCATCATTGATATCTACTGCTTTCACAATTTTCTCATTACCTTTCTCCACATTCTTTATGTCTCTAGCAAGCACTTTGTCGTTATAATCACTCTTATATTTGCCTTGTCAATTTAGTAGGCTATAAGCTCCTTGAAACAAATGACTTCAACGTATAAGGTGAGAAATAAGTATGGAAAAATTCAGAAAAATCTGAAATTGAAAAACTGTCATGTGCCATTGACCTGATGCAGAGATTGGTTTAAGTAACTGATCTGTATGTATGGCAGTTTCTCTTCTGTAAAATGAAAAGAACTCAACATGAATGGAAGAGCAAATTAAGCAATGTATATAAGGGTTTTGGTGACTTTATGTCATATATTAGTTACCACAGTGATAGTACCCTTACATTAATCTTTGCCTCACTTGTGGTGTTAATGCAGTCCTTGGCAAGGCAATATTCAGTAAATGTTTGCTACATTGAATTTCAGTTTATTGAATTGAAACAGAGAAGATTGAGGATGAGAACCCTATTCTGGTCTATACATGCTAGCCTCACTTTAAAAAAAAAACATACTTCATGGATAAAACTTCTAGTGTCTTTCTGTTTTGTTATAGCTATGTCTATTTGGTTCTGATTAAGCCACAATAAAGTGTGTGATTGGAAGAG